AGGTAAGCAACTTTTGATCACTTTTATCCATTGATATTGAATACCCATTGATTTTACACCTAGATTATGTGTGTCTGAGGTGAAATTTGGTGGATGTGTGGTCTATGTATTGGAGAGTAAGATTTATGGATTTGAGGTTGATTTGTTGTCGAAATTGGATGATTTTGGTATGGTTGGACTCGTTAATGAATGGGTGTTTGGAATTCATGAACTTTGTCGAGTTCCGAGGTGCGGGCCCAGGGTTGGCTTTTTTGGGTTGAATTTTATGAATTTGGTCAAAGAACTTAGCTTTATCATATGGTATCGATTCCTATAGCTTGTACTGATTATATTAAGTTGTTTGTGACTAGATTCGAGTCGTTCGAAGGTCGATTCGCGAGGAAAGGGTTTCTTGGTGCATTGGGTTGCGCACTTTGAGGTAAGTAACACTTTTAAACTTAGAACTGAGGGTATGAATTCCCATAAAACGTATTATTTGGTTTGTGTTGGGTGACACACATGCTAGATGACGGGCGTGTTGGCGTACACCGTGGAAATCATGACCCGGTTGATTCTTTTGTACTGTGTTGTTATCAAGTCTTGTTCCATCCGTGAAATCCTTACTTGTTAGAGTGATTGAAATGTAATTCATGTAGAAAATATGTTTAGGCTATGTTACTTATTTTGTTGAGGCCTAGTAAGGTTATTTATGTTGTTTTGAGTTATCTGTTTTAACTGCAACTTTGTGCTCAGTCATGATCCTTTACTTGCATATTATATCTCAGTCTCTGTTATCGTTCACTGTTCCATTACATGTTCTTACTGAGCTAGGCTGAGTAGTATGGGATTGTGATCCCCGTGAGACTTGAGAGACTGATGACTGAGTTGGGCCTGAGAGCCGTGTTGAGAGTGTTACTGTGAATTAGGCTGCACGCCACAGCAGGCCTTATTAGCTTATTTATTTATTGTGGATCGGACTACACGCTGCAGCAGACCTTATAGGCTTTATAATAGCGCTTGGGTAGGATCCGCCCCTTTGAAGTCTGACTTACCAGCAGTGAGCTCAGGCACCGTGATTCATATACACATGCTTTGGTGAGGGGCATTGATGCCAGGCACCCGTACAGTGCTGAGTGATTGTGTGTGATGAGCGGAAATTTGAGATAGACTGATTGAGTACTCTGAGAGTCTGGGTACTTGGAAATATCACTGTGATACTGTACTTGACATGGATATTTGACATGTAGGCATAGAGATGTACCGTTACTCATGCTAGCTATACTTGATATGTTCTTATTCGTGTTGGTCTCTAATTGTGAACATGAAAGCATGCCTAAATTTCTGTACCATGAACGAGCTGAATTTGGAAGTTTCTCTGAGTTATTACTGTCATTCTCATTATTATATCTGTGTTGGCAATATATTGGTTCTGACTGTATCCTTCTAAGCTCATCATTGCTTTCAGCCCAAGATTAGTCCTGTTACTTATTGAGAACATTGGGTCGGTTGTAGTCATACTACACTCTGCACTTCGTGTGCAGATCTAGGTACATCTGGATGCGCTGATTGCTAGATTTGGTGCTAGTAACTACTCAGAGAATTTGAGGTAACTGCTATGATGCCCGCAAACTTTGACTTTCTTCTTTTCATTTTATTCAGTACTGTTCTATTTCTCAGACAGTTGCACTAGAGTTTCAGGCTATGTTAACACTTAGTAGCTTATGTACTCGTTGACACCAGATTTTGGGATGGTTGTAGTAGAGTTTCAGTTGTTTTTATTAGATATTTATGATATTTTTTCGTTGTTGAGATTATTAAATCATGTTTTAATTCAAAGGCTTAGTTGGTGATTGTCGGCTTGCCTAGTAAACGTGTTAGGCACCGTCACAACAGGTTGAAATTTTTGGATCGTGACATTAATTTAATTTGCATAATGGATATATTTAGAGCAACCAAAAATACGTATATTATTAGGGAGGTAGTGGTAAAAGTAAAAAGAATAAGAGGTGGTTCTTCTAGTAGCTTTACATATGTTTCTAAAAGTTTACCTAAAAATGTAAATGTAGACTATGATCAACTACAAGAAGATTATGATATATATGATGATTTATATAATATTGAGTCACCTGATAATCTTGAAACACCATCACCTACACCTGGTACAGCTAGTCAAACTACTAGCAATGGCGGCCACGGTAGTATGAGTAGGCCTCCTCTCCTTGTTAAGAAGAATCGAAAACTGAGAAGTAAGTGTTGGAAATTTTTTACTAGACTAAAAGAAGTTAATAATTATGTAAGATGTAATATTTGTCAAGATGTTTATAAACATGAGACCGAGGGTAAGCAAAGGTGAACGGATCAACTTCGTTGGCACATGCTAGATAACCACCCTATTGTATGGTTGCTGATGAACAATCTGGCCAGCAAAAACTTAACCCACATGTTGGCGGTTTATTTGGTAAATATGATATATTGAATGACCGAGAAGAATTAGCTAAAATGATTGTTTTAGGTTGTTTACCTTTTAGCTTTGCCTTTTTACCATATCTTGTTACTTGCATTCAAAGAATTTATAACCCTTAATTTAAAAGTTATTCCTGGAAGACTTGTAGAACTGATGTCTTTAGGCTTTTTGGACAATACCAGACATATATCTGTTATTTGTTTGCTAGTCTTCCTTGTAGAGTTTCTCTTACTTCTGATATTAGTTGTGCTGTTAATGGAATTGATTATTTAATTGTTACATGCCACTGGATAGATGATAATTTTATAATGCAAAAATGTATTATTACTTTTAAATATGATGAAGATGAAAGTCATATTGCTGTATTTATAAGTAATACTATCCATGACGTTGATGTACTTTACAATCTTGAAGAAAATATTTTGTGTATGTCTTTTGATAATGCTTCTAACAACAATGCTGCTATTTCACTTTAAAAGTGCATATATGCCCACCACTTCCTGAAATATTTAATGTTAGGTGTGCATGTCATATTTATAATTTAATTGTTAAAAGTGGCCTTGAATTATTTAGAAATGAGATTACTTTAATTTGAAGAGTTGTTGGTGTTATTCAAGAAAATAATAGGAGTATTAGATTAAATGCATTTAAGGATAAGTGTGAACAATATAGACTAAGACCAAGACTCATGCCTAAAGAAATAGTTACTAGGTAAAATTATACTTATATATTCCTAAGATGATGTTATAAATATGGAATGCATATAAATGAAGTTGCTAATTCTCATATCCAAACTGTTTCTGACAGTTAATACTTAGAATGTTATTGAAGATGTTATAAATCTTTTACAAAAAAATTTATGTCGCTACACTTGAGTTTTCTGGAGTTTATTATCCTACTATGGTAAATGGTTTAGTACATATAGTTGAAATTTCTCTTTTACTCCATAATTTCAAGAAGAAAGAAGGATATAATTCTGTTGTTGAATCTATGCTAGAAAAATGCATTTCTATCATTATTCCCTATATTTACCTAATTGTTGTTATTTTAAACCCTACTATCAAGATGGCTACTTGTCGCCAATTAATCAATGCTTTATATGCCTATATGAAAATTGGACCAACTAAAACGCCAGATATTAACACTTGCATTTTTTATCTAAACAACCATTTATAAGCTTTATATAATTACTATGCTAACATTGTTGATGCCTTTTCTGTTGTAGATGCAAATGCAAGTATCCTTTAAGTTCGATTTCTACATCCGCATCCGCATCCGCATCCGCATCTGGTGCTATAGAGGAAGATGATGATGTTGAAGATTATGATGTTTGGTCTACACTAAGTGAGCATCAACAACCCAATAACAGGAACATTGATGAACTCCAATTATACTAGCAAAAGACAACAGAGCCCCGCACAAAGGAATTTCTACCGCTGGCTTAGTGGAAGAGCAACTCAAAGCAATTTCCTGTTCTTTCGGCCATGGCTCAAGACGTGCTAAATGTGCCGATTTCAACAGTGCATCAAAGAGTGCATTTAGCCAAACAAGATAGCAACTAGGAGATACCCGTCACTCATTGGGTAACAATGCTTTGGAAGTTCTAATGTGCTTCAGAGATTGGATAAGATTAGAACGACGACATCAAAGACGTGAAAAGGTAGATGAATCGGAGGACAAAAAAATTGGAGATGTAATGGTTTATGGTTCCGATTCAAGCAATGCCGAAAATCAAGAACCTCATGCTGACATGGAAGAACTTACAAAAATGATGCAAAACATGTGATGTACTCTTTCTTATTTTTTATAATTATTGTAAACTTTTCATTTGCAAGTTCAAAAATAAAAAAATTAAAATAAAACTTGCAAGTTTAATTTGAAGCAATATGCAATGAAAGCCTTTGAAGTTTTATCTTTACACATTGGTCTTACTCAATATTACCACTTAATTTCAAATTTAAGACTTTAAAAGCTAATTTTATATCTTAAAATACTTATGTTATAACTTAGAAGTTTGTAAATACTCAAGTATCAATTATATTGAACCCCGACGGACCAAAATTAACTCAGAAAATCACAATCCACTAACAGCCCGGTCCCTCAACCCGCTAACCAGCCCGACACCATAACTGGATGGGCTATTTTTTCTCCACCCAACCCGGTCCAGCCCGTCCAGTAAACAGTTGTACATCCTACTAAACATACCTTAATTTATTTCTCCCTCCGGTTCACAATAAGTGTTCAATTTGCTTTTAGCACGCCCATTAAGAAAATACTAAATTCTATACAAAAATACCTACTATGACTAAACTACTCCTAATTAAACATTTAATGTGAGGAGTAAAAAAACTTTTTAGGGATATGTACATAGGGGTTATTTTATAAAAACAAATTGAATTCTTTATTGATTACATAACTGGACACTTATTTTGAACCAAAAAGAAAAAGTAAATTGGACACTTATTGTGAACCGGAGGGAGTAATAGAAAAAGCTTTATCATCTAAATATTTTAATTATTACATATTTTACCTTAATTCGTGCACTGACACTGCTCTTCTGTACTTGCATTTAAAGCAACATATACTATTCCCTTAACATAAATTCCCAGTAGATTTACAGATAGTTTCTGATTCTACCGCAAAGGGTGTGCTTAGTTAGTTGACAGTTGATGAACATAGCTGAAACAATCTTCAAAAGTGTATTTAGGCGAAAAAGCGGAGAAACAGATGGGTAAAGAGATGTCACTTCTATTACAGCCGCGATGCCTAGTGATCTTCTTTGTGGCTTTAGTTCTCGTCTTTCTTGCTTCCTCTCTCTGGCTAAAGGTACTCTTACATTTTCTTTTATTGCCTGCCCATTTCGAGAATAGTCTCTATTTATAGATCTCATTGCGGGTCTCCTAATATTCTACGAACTGAATTGTTGCTTCAATTCTTCTTTCAGTCGGAACCTTTTTTTTTTAGGTACGGGCTACACTGGCACCTGTGTTTGGTGTTAAATGTGTAAGGTTACCACATAGTTTTCAATATAGGGGGTTCATCGAAACTCAGAAATTTTAGCTCGGACTGTGTATATGGGTTAAACAGTTCACTAAATAAGTGCAAATAGTTGATTTTGAACCAAGTAAGTTAAATGAGTTGTGGTAGAATTTCGAACAGGAACCCGTAAAGTTCAAATCATGGATCCACCTAGGGCAGAAATGAGGCTGAATGGAGAGAATATGGAGTATACATATATAGTGAATCCCAATATAATCAATGTACCTTGGATTTCGTTTTACTCATGGTACATTGACTGTAACATTTTAGATTCATACATCTAGCTTTTGTGCTTAAAGTATGATTCAGCGGCAAACGAGTCATATGGGATATTGCAAATACAAGTCTGTTCACAATTAACTACTAAGATGGTAATCATTATGAAGGCCTTTAGCGCTCTTTCATGAAGCACTATGCAAGTTCCTCAGATAAAATGCCTTTATCCTTTGGTCTTTCTCTTAATGCATTGAAGCACAAAAAAGAATCGGTTCTTTCTTGTTTATCCACTTGTAACAACTCATCCATCTCGTTCTCCAAAGAACAGTTTCAACGTCGTATAATCTTTTTGTCTTGAGGACCAAGTTCTAAGTGACTTTCCAACTAGTACGATGGTTTGGAGGAGTACTATAGAGAAGATTTTCTTAGTTTTTTTTTCCGTGTATGATACTCATTTCGATGAGTATTTGAGCTGAAGTTAAAGTTGAAAAAAAATTGTGGACGTTGAAGTTGTGAGCTTCACTTTTCAAAAGAAATTTGTGGAAGTTGAAGATTGTTAGTGGAAACCAATATTTCACTTGAAATACACCTCCAGATCAGGATTTCAATAATTCACTTCTAGTTCAAATGCTGAAGTTCAGTATTTGCAAATACTCTTGCCCAAACTAGTAATACTGAACTTCAGCATTTGTAAATACTGAAATACAGATCTATGCTCAAACATGCCCTAGTCATGTTACAATTACCAATGCTTGGAAACCTGCTGCCTCCTTCTTTTAAATGATTGGTGGGTAATCAACGCATTGTCTTTCTCTATGAAGCAAGTCGGTTTTTGGATCAGAGAGAGTAGAAACGATGAGACAATGAGATTGTTTCCAGCTAATTGAAAGGGGATGAGATTTATTTGGGATTTCATTGGATGAGCTGTGAGCTATAAATTTTTGATAACCAGCTGTGAGCTATAAATTGAGAACAACATTGAGTTTTAGGGTAGTTAGAGTCTTGATAGACAATGCAAGTGCTTGTTTGGCTATGTAAAGGTGTTTTATGATACTGAAAAGCAAAGAGGATTCGGATGTAGTAATCCAGAAAAGTTACAAATATTCCAGATGTAGTTGAGGCAGCTCAATAGAACAACAACAACAACAAACGGTCTGGGGCAGCTCTATAAAGCTGAAAAGAAAATGAGGAGCAGGAGGAGGAATAAAAGAGGTTCTTTGGATAAACAAATGCCAAGGCTTAGAATGTATTTGCAGATCGAGAAGTCCCATAACATGGTAGTATGCTAAAAAGATGATAAGCTGAATATAAACCTCAATTAAAAGGATTGAAGTTTGGTCCTGCATGCTCTTTGACAAGATTTCTGCTATTTAATTTCATGTTGTAGCATTCAATATCAAACAAAAAAAAGGTCATTTTATAACATTTTTTTCCTCCCTGTTGAGTGTTGAATCGGTTTTGATTTTCAGGATGTGTAGGTTTTAGAATGGTTGTACGGAGAACTGTATTAATGACTCAAATTTAAGAGTCTTATGAAACTTATGAGAGAAAGCTAGTATTCTCACACATGTACCAGAATTTAAAATTTCTTAATATCTAATGAGTGAGAAGCTGATGTTATATAACCTCATCTTATATATGAGTTTCAAACCCATACCAGAAGTTAAAATTCTGGTGGTCAAGATTGGAACTTTGTCTCATGGGTCTCATTTAAAAGTCTTTCAATTTTTGTCATGTTATATTTCTAAGAGAATGCTTTGTTTAACTACTGATGTATTTTTTTCTCTAGTGGTTCACTAAGCATTGACCATAATTTCCTCTTTAATTTCTCAGGGAGAGGAAAAGACAGAAAGGGTTTATGAAATTACTCACAAAGTGTTCTTGGATGTTGATATAGATAAACAACGTATAGGTATGGTTGTTTGTGCTTGACGTTTTTATTTTATTAGTTTTCATTGGCTTAATGATCTTAAATTTAAAATGCTCCACATTGAGTTGTCTGTTTTTTTCTTCCTTTTGGGCTACCAATGATTAGGCATCTTTCCTAGGATATTGCTTATTCATGCTTGAATCATTTTTTGGTTTACGGGAAAAGGAAAATGATCTTGTTTGCAAAATCTTCGGATGTGTGACCATTTTAATGTCATACATCAGCATGGTTAGTGTTGATTAGTAAGCTCGTTATGAGATTGGTGTCCTTCCTGGCTTGACTATCTAGATTATATACTGAGCAGGAAAGCTGGTTGATGTATCTTTTACTGCCGGGGGAATTTTTCATAATGATAATTTTGTTTCAACTCTAAATTACATGGTGTCTCATGTTTGGATGAGAAACTTGCAGGATTCAAGCAAGAAAGATGGGTAATTAAATGTTTCTTTGAGAGGACCATCATCCCAAAACTTTTCGCACTCTGCATATTGGTGAAGTAAGGATTGTGAGAGCAGAGACGTACTACAGTTGCTTGTAGTCTGGTAGAGAATCACGAAGGACGTGGGCTATACTTTTAACAATAACTCTCGAAGCTTCGTGTATCCTCTGCAAAAGTTGAATCACTGGAAGGGTGCTTCATAATAACCTAAAGAGACACTGCAAGAATTAAGAAAAACAACAACAACAACAATAAAAAACTCAGTGCAATCCCACAAAGTGGGGTCTGGGGAGGGTAGAGTGTACGTAGACCTTACCCCTACCTTACGAAGGTAGAGAAGTTGTTTCCGATAGGCCCCCGGTTCAAGAAAACAAACTAAAAAGAAGCAGAAACGACAAGTAATAACCATAGCAAGCAAAGGTGATATAATATTCGAAGCGAAAGAAACGACATAAAGTAAAAGAAATCTGTGGATACGAAGAAATGAAAATACGAGACTAATACTAATAAAACCGGCATGAAAATGAGACACTCCCGCTTAACCACTACCATTCTCCCTAATTCTCAACCTCTATACCCTCCTATCAAGGGTCCCTTAGTGAGCTGGAGTAGCGCCATGTCATGCCTAATCATCTCTCCCCGATACTTCTTAGGCCTACCTCTACCTCTCTTCAGCCCCCCATTGCCAACCTCTCACACCTCTATGCACCTACTCTTCACATGCTCGTACCATCTCAACCTAGCTTCTTTCATCTTGTCTTCCACGGGTGCCACTCCCACCTTTTCATGAATATCAACATACCTTATCTTATCCAACCTGGTATGCCCACACATCCATCTCAGCATCCTCATTTCTGCTACTTTCATCTTCTGGACATGGGTGTTCTTAACAGCGCAACACTCTGCCCCATATAGCATAATAGGTCTAACCGCCATTCTGTATAATTTACCTTTAAGACTTGGTGGCACCTTCTTATCACACAGAACCCCGGAAGTGAGCCTCCATTTCATCCATTCCGCTCCAATACGATGTGAGACATCCTCGTCAATCTCACCATTACCTTGTGTAATTAACAAGGTATGGAAGAATCAAATTGGTGTATTATTCCATGTAGTGATACATATATATACATGTACATCAGGTGCTAACTAAGGAAAGAAAATAAAAGAGATTCCTATAAATCTGCTATCTATATATGGGTTATGTAAACTACTAAAAAACAGTGTATGTTCATTGTGTAAAGTGTCTAGGTTCATTCTCTAACACTCCCCCTCAAGCTAGAGCATATATATTGATCATGCCCAGCTTGTTACAAAGGTAATCAACTCGAGTGCCATTCAATGCTTTAGTGAACAAATCAGCTAGCTGCTCTCCTGTCTTCACGTAGCCAGTGGAAATCAAGTTCTCGTGAATCTTCTCACGAATAAAATGACAATCAACTTCAATATGTTTGGTTCTTTCATGATACACTGGATTTGAGGCAATATGGAGTGCATCTTGATTATCACACCAGAGTTTTGATGGAGTAGGATGCTTCAACCCAATTTCAGTTAAAGGTGATGTTACCACATTATCTCACATGTTGATTGTGCCATAGCTCTATACTCGGATTCTGCACTGGACCTAGATACAACATTTGTTTCTTACTTCTCCACGATACTAAGTTTCCACCAACAAATACACAGTAACTAGTAGTAGATCTTCTATTAACCTTGGATCCAGCCCAATCTGCATCTGCAAAACATTCGATGCGAGAATGACCGTGATTGCTGTATAATATGCCAAGTCCAGGAGCTCCTTTTAAGTAACATCGGATCTGCTCCAAAGCCTCCCAATGTTTAACTGCGGGCGCGGACATGAACTGGCTAACCATACTCACTGCAAAAGCAATATCTGGACGAGTCACAGTGAGATAGTTTAATCTCCCAACTAACCTCCTGTATCTATCTGGATCATTAAATGGATCGCCATCATCTTTCATAAGATGCAAATTAGGAATCATTGGAGTACTACAAGGCTTGACAGCCAGCTTACGAGTTTCTGCTAGTAAGTCAAGAATATACTTTCTCTGAGATAGAAAAATTCCCTTCTTGCTTCTAGTTATTTCTCTCGTAAGAAGTATTTCAGTTGTCCCAAGTCTTTTGTATGAAACTTAGTATGCAAGAAAGACTTGAGAGAAGAGATTCCTAATCACTCCCTCTGATAACAATGTCATCCACATATACAACAAGGAGAATAGATCCAGCTGTTGATTGCTTGTAGAAGACAGAATGATCACATTTGCTCTTTTTCAGCCCAAATTCTTGAATTGCTTCACTAAATTTACCAAACCAAGCCCGGGGACTCTGCTTCAAGCCATATAAGGATTTCTTCAAATGGCAGACCTTGTCGTACTCCCCCCGAGCAACAAAACTAGGTGGTTGCTCCATATATACCTCTTCATGGAGATCACCATGAAGAAAAGCATTCTTAATATCCAATTGATGCAAAGGCCAATTCTCAGAAGCAGCTAGAGAAATAAACAAGCGGACAAAAGTAAGTTTGGCAACCGGAGAGAAGGTGTCTGAATAATCCACCCCATAAGTCTGAGCATACCCCTTAGCCACAAGTCTGGCCTTAAGTCTCACCACAGAGCCATCAGGATTAAGTTTAACCGTGAAGACCCACTTGCATCCCACTGCTTTCTTTCCACTGGGTAAATCCACTAAATCCCAAGTGTGGTTTTCCTCTAAGATATGTATTTCCTCAAGCATTGCTTCAGACCATCCAGGATGATTCAAAGCCTCCTTCACCGTTTTGGGTATAGAAACAGAGTCTAGAGACACAATCAATGATCTAGATGCAGGGGACAAGTGGTCGTAGGAAACAAAATTAGCAATAGAATATATGGATTTGCAAGTGCGTATACCTTTGCGAAGAGCAATTGGAAGGTCAAGGTTTTCTGGAGGGTCAGGTGGAGGCAAATCTGATGATGAAGGAACTGATGACGAAGGAACTGGTGCAGAACATGTATCATTTGTCTGCTGCCTCCGCGAGTAAACTTGAACAATTGGCGGTCTTGCTAACACAGTTGGAGCAGGTGCTGAAGGCAGAATAATGGATTGGTGCTCGATAGAACTAGGAGATGGAGGAACATCATGTCGTGTTCTGTCAAAGTACGAGTAACCTGATATACTAGCCACTCATCTTCCTCCCCTGACTTGTAGAAATGGGAGGTGCATAGAAGAATGGTGTAGTATCTGAAAATACTACATCAGTTGACACTAAATATTTGCCAAGTTCAGTAGAATAACACCGATACCCCTTCTGAAGGCGAGAATAGCCAAGGAAAACACACTTCAATGCCTTGGGATCCAACTTGGTAACAAATGGTCGAACATCTCGAACATAACATGTGATTCCAAATACCTTAGGTTCCACTGGAAATAATGCCTTGTTTGGAAAAAGGACACTGTAAGGCACATTACCACCAAGCACAGTAGATGGCATGCGATTAATCAGAAAGCAAGCTGTAGAGACCGCATCAGCCCAGAACTGTTTAGGAACCTTCATTTGGAACAAATGTGCCCGAGCTGTCTCAAGTAGATGCCTATTCTTCCTCTCAGCTACTCCATTTTGAGAGGGTGTATCAACACATGAAGGCTGATGTAGAATACCATATTGTCTCATGTATGACTGAAATAACTCTGACATGTATTCTTTAGCATTATCACTCCTTTGAATACGCACCGAAGCGTTAAATTGTGTTTTGATTTCAGCACTGAAGGCAGAAAAGTGAGTAAGCACTTCAGAGCGGCTCTTCATAAAGTGAATCCAAGTCATTCGAGAAAAATCATCTACAAAGGTGACAAAATACTTATGCCTAGTTTTGGAAACAACGGGACATCGTCCCCAAACATCAGAATGAACTAACTCAAAAGCTGACTCAACTCGTTTATTAACCCTTGGACTTAACGAGATGCAATGGTGTTTTGCAAATCGACATGACTCACAATCCAATGAAGAAATATTCTGAAACTGAGGACAAAGCTTCTTCAACAAAGGCAGAGAGGGGTGTCCCAATCGACAATTTGCTTCAAAGGGAGACATAACACTAGAGCATGCAATAGACCGTGGCTCCCATTCATCAAGGATGTAGAGATCACCAGATAAATATCCTTTACCAATAACATGTTTTGTTGTAAGATCTAGAAACAAACAATGATCGGGAAAGAATGCAACACAACAATTAAGGTCTTTGGTGATTTTACTAACAGAAATCAAGTTAAAGGCCAAGTTTGGTAGACTTAATACAGATGACAGGGTAATAGAGGAAGTTGGTTTAACAGTCCCAGATCCAACACTACTACAAGTTGATCCATCAGCTACGTTACTGGATAGGGTGCTTTATGTGAGCGAAAGCTAGAAAAAATATTTGGATTACCTGTCATGTGATTTGTGGCACCTGAATCAATCACCCATTTATTGGAAGATGTGATAAGACATGTTTTATCTGATCCAGCAAAGCAGTAACTGAAGAAGATTTCTTAACTGATTTATGAT